TATCATCAGCATCAAACTCCTTAGTTGTGGAAGTAACCTTTGTACCACTACCTAGTATCACCACTGCGAAGGCTATGATGACCCTTCATCGTGTATTACCCTTATCGCCCTGTTTTTGCTGCTTGCTGGCTGACTTCTTGACGGTGGTAGCAACCTACTAGCATTATAAAGACATCACCCTCCCCCCTGGGTTATATATTACTACCTGTGGTGCGGTGGTGGCTGCTAAAGCCTTCTCAGCTGCAGCCTCCTTATTATTATTCAGTTCGATATCATCTAGACCGGCATCGGCAGCCTCCCAATCATCATCAGAATCGCTATCATCCCATTGTTCATTCAATTTAGATGGACCAGCACACGAGGAGGAGGACATACTAACGTAATAATAATTTTCAACAATCTAAGGGTCGTTGAAATGATGATGATGAACTCTCATAACTATGTCGTAGTACCCGGCCGGGCACGCCCAGATGATCGGTTCGTTAGGTGTAGGTGCTAGGCCTCCTTGAACGTACTACATGCCTTGGGAGGTCGTATTGTCTCGTGTAAGTAGTCCTGCTATTACTAATGAGGGGAGGATGGTGAGGTATCATCTATACCAATAGGTAATAGGGGGTGGGTATCAGGGAGGCTCTCTCTCACTGTTACTACACATGTAAAGTAGGGTCATGCATAGACCGTCTACATGGTAGTAGGCTTGGCACTATACGCTTGATCATGTTAGAGATCCTTCTGAAGGTATGGAGCGTCGGTATCGGCTTGTATTGGTATCAAGCCTGAGCAATCGTTCTAGGACCCATGAAACAGAGGGGAACGAGTAATGGTGATGGGAGGGAGTGCGATAACCTTCCGAAATGGCCATTACTAGCGAGTTTCACTTGACGTTAACGGAATAGATTATCACCGACTAACCGTAGTGAAGGAGAAGAAGAAGAAGAAGAAGAAGAAGAGGAGGAGGAGGAGGAGGAGGAGGAGACACCATTACCCTATGAGCACTTTACCTAGATAGGCAGTAAAATTTCACGTCCATTTGAGCTGTCGGTGCAAAGTTATGCAGGTGACCCTTAACGGACTCTTTAGATTGGGCGTATTGTACCCGAGCTGTGACGCCTCATCGTCCACTTTGTCGATCGATGCATGCTTACCCTCGTACGATGCTGCCTATGATGGATGCTCCCCGGGGGCACCCCTACCACCATCCAATACTCTAGTTGGCCCTCAGACATGGAAGCCACTAAGATCTAGCCCCCACTCTACCACCGAGGATCAAGGGTCGCCACGCATTGAGGTACCACCCCATGGCCATCGGCCTCTGGAATGCTCCTTGTTGTTGGTCAGAGGAGGGGGAACTTTACTCAAAGGGTACTTGTTCTGGTGCCGGCCTAAGCTGTTGTGATGTGTGTCATGGTTATACCAACGACTATCATACTTCTCATC